ATGCCTCTGTATGACCCTCAGGACCACGTAGGGAGGGTCAAAAGGACAGAAAATGGAATTCAAGGTCTTAAAAAGGAATGCTGAAAATTGTTTTTACGTGGAACTGGGAAAAAGGAAAATACTAAATTAAAAAAGAAAAATTATGACATTTTACTCTTTCAAATTTATTATAATGTCAAAGGTAGCTAAAGAAATCTTTGGAATTGTACTATTTTTCTATATTAGATTATCAATAAAATATTTGATTTAAAAAAGACTAGAGCTGAACAGAAAATTTGACTTTCAAATACAAGACTGGAGAGAAGCACAAATAGGTAAACAGGAAAGGGAAATCATAAGGGACTTGATAAGGTTAAATGGGTTACCTCCCAGCATTGCAAGATGATACTTGAAACTCATAAGAAATTTCTCATCATTAGTTAGAAGGAGTATAAATAGAAGGCAGAGGTGTGAGTTGAATATGAAGTGAGGGTATCTAAAAAATAAAATTAAGGCAGGAGAAAGAGGAGTGCACTGGGAGAAAGGGAAAGGAAGAGACAGAATGGGATAAATTGTCTAACATAAAACAGGCAAGAAAGAGCTTTTGGGGTTGAGGGGAAGAGAGGGGAGGTGGTGGGGAACACTTGTACCTTACTCTCAGAATTGCCTCAAAGAGGGAACAACATACACACACAATGGGTCCAGAAATCTATCTTACCCTACAGAAAAGCAGGGTGATAGAAGGAAGGACAGATTGAGGAAGGTGGTAGTCAGAAGCAAACCACTTTTAATGAGGGACACAGTGAAAGGACAGAGAGAATAGAATAAACAAGGAGGAAAATAGGACAGAGAGAAATACAGTTAGCAAACATAACTGGTAAAAAAAAATTCTTGAAGCCAACTTCCTCTGATGAAGGCCTCATTTCTCAATTATATAGAAAAGTGAGACAAATTTATAGAAATAAGAGCCGTTCCTCACCAGATAAATGATCAAAAGATATGACCAGTCAGTTTTCAGATGAAGTAATCAAAGCTATCTATAACCATATGAAAAAAAATGCTCTAAATTGCTGTTGATTGTTGCAAGGCAAATTAAAAAATTGTAAGGTACAGCCTCACACATATTAGATTGGTTAATAAAACAGAAAAGGAAAATAACAAATGCTGGTGGGGATGGGGGAAATTTGAGACATTAATAGACTGTTGGTGGAGGTGTGAATGGATTCAACCTTTCTGTAGAGCAATTTGAAACTATGTCCAAAGGGCTATAAAACCATGCATACCCTTTGACCTAACAACACTGCTACTAGATCTTTATCCCAAAAGACATTAAATAAAGGAAATGGACATATACATACAAAAATATTTATAGCAGCTCTTTTCTGGTGGTAAAGAAATGGAAATTCAGGGGATGAGCATCAATTGTGAAATGGTTCATTAAGTTGTGGTATATAATTGTGATGGAATGCTATAAGAAATAATGATCAGGGTAGGCTCGGAAAATCCTAGAAAGATTTACATGAATTAATGGGAAGTAAGATGAATAGTACCAGGAGAACATGGTACACAGTAACAGCTATATTATAAGATGATCAGCTATGACGAACTTAACTGTTTTCAGCAATATAAAGATCCAAGACAACTCTGAAGGACTTTATGAAGAAAAATGCCATCCATTCCCAGAGAAAGAAATGATGGTGTCTGAATACAGATGAAAGCAGTCTTTTTTAACTTTATTTTTCTTGAGGTTTTTTTCTCTACATTTTCTTTAACAACATGAGTAGTACAGAAATATGTTTTACATGACTAAATATGTATAATCTATATAGCTTGCCTGTTCAATGGGGAAGTTTGGGTTGAGAGGGAAGGAGAGAATTTCAAACTCAAAATTTTTAAAATGAATGTTAAAAATTGTTTTTATATGTAATAGAGGAAAAATAAAATAGTAAGGGGCAGCTAGGTGGCACAGTGGATAGAGCACAGGCCCTGAAGTCAGGAGGACCTAAGTTCAAATCTGGCCTCAGACCAAACACTTGACACTTACTAGCTGTGTGACCCTGGGCAAGTCACTTAACCCCAATTGCCTAAAAAAAAAACAAAAACAAAACAAAAATAAAATAGTAATACTAAACAATAACAACAACAACAACAACAACATAAGTGGACCTTTTGTGTAATATGAATTTACGCACAGAAGTGGAAAAGGGCAGGAGGGAGTTAGGAAGAGGACTGCACCCCTGTGGAGGAGGAGTCGGCACATGGTTCCAGGATATGTGGGGGCTGGGCACAGAGAAGCATAAGCAGGAGGAGGAACACATGGCTGGTGCGGCCAGCCACATGAGGGCCTGGCTGGAACCGAAAGGAAGAACACGCTGGCAGGCAGACACATGAGGGCCGCACATGGAAACATTTAAGAGAGGACAGGCCACACGGTACCCCAATGTGGATGGACAAAATAACAAAACACAGAGACCAAACTCTTGGGCAGGTGGGCAGACTGAAATCAACATCTACTTTCTCAGCACTAGAGGTTTCAAGCCCAGCCCTGATCCAGCAGTGGTGATGGCTGTCTCTCTGAAGGTCTGTTCTTTTGCTTTCATTTGTAGGACTTTGTTTTTAGCTCTTTTTTTGTGGAAGGGGGATTGTGGTGGTAGGAGGCCACAGAGCACCAACTTCAGAGGCAGGAGCAGAAAGAGATCCCAGTACAGAATGGTAAAGTTTACATAGGGGTTTTCTTGGAATGCAGATTTCTTATTGAATTCCTTACATAAAGTCCAATTCGCATCATGTGAATTTACATAAAATACCATCTTTCTGCCCTCCTTTCTATTCCCATTCAGTTTCCTCCAGAGATCTTTCATATCTAAGTTTTCTAAAATTCTATTACTCTTCTTACCTTCTTATTCATTTTATGGTTAGGTCTATCTAGCTCTCAGGGAAAAGTTGATGTGCCTCACTAATACAGTTTTCCTGTATATTTCTTCCTGTAATTCATTTAACTCTTCCTTTAAGAAACTGAATTCTATGCCATTCCTAAACATACGTTTACTCTTGATATTACTTCATTGTCTCTCATTCCTTTGAACAAGAGGTAGTTTCCCTGTTTTACCCCTTTTAATAGGGCTATTTGTGCTTTTTTGCTTTGTCTGAAATCATGATTGCTAGCCCTCCATTTTTTACTTCAGCTGAAGTATAACAGTTTCTGCTCCAGCTCCCTATTTCAACTCTGTCATTCTCTCTTTGTTTCAAGTAAATTTCTTGTAAAAAACAAAACATACGTTTGGATACTGGTTTTTAATCCATTTTGCTACCTGCTTCCATTTTATGAGTGAGTTCATCCCATCCACACAGTTAGGATGACTAACTACATATTTTCCTCCACCCTATTTTCTTCTGTTTCTCCTTCTCTCTCTTTTTTCATCCTGTCTCTCCTCTAATTTCTGTTTCACATATGACCACTGTATTCTTTTTTCAGCCCACCCTTTTATCACCACTTTTTCTTTTACTTTTCTTATTCTCTTGCTTACCTGGAGGGTAAGATAGATTTTTATGACCAACTGAGTAAGTATATATAGATACAAGTATTAATATAGACACAGATATTTTCCACTTTTGAACCAATTTAGATGTGATTGAGGTTCAAATGCTGGCCACTCCTCCTTCCATTTCCTACTGCAAGATAAAAGCTCTTCCTTGCACACCTATTTTAGGTGAGATCATTTCCCCCATTCTTTCCCTCCCTTCTGCCTTCTCCCAGGGCATCCACATTTCTCACCTATCCATTTATTTTACATCATCCCAACTGAAGAGGCTCACTCCCAAACCTTCTTTCTATGTAGAATACTTCTACCTGCTCTAATAATGATAAAATTCTTAAAAGATATATGTATCCTCTTCCCTTATAGAGAAGCACACAGTTTAACTTTATTGAGTCACTTGTGATTTCTCTTTAGTATTTTACCTTTTATTGCTTCTTTTGAGTCTTGTATTTGAAAGTCACATTTTGTCTTCAGCTGTGGTCTTTTTATCAGGAATGATTCAAAGCCTTCTATTGCATTAAATATCCATTTTTTTCTCTTTGATGCTTTTTATAGAGAGCAAGCCTGAAGTAGCTGGAATGTTCTTAGAACGTATATCTCCACTCATAAGTATCTTGTCCACTGATTGTTCTGAGGGTAGATGTGTTTCCACAGAGAGCAAGCCTGTAGTATCCAGTGTAAGAAAGAGACTGGAAAGCCAATCTGGGCAAAGAAACCAACCTGTATCAGGAGAAACAAAGGTGGGGTCTCAGACTGCACTGGGCAGACTATAGACCCCACCTATGCTTCTCTTACAGGTTGGTTTCTTTGCCCAGAGAGGCATTCCAGTCTCTTTCTTACACTGAAATGTTCCCAGACAGAGTATCTCCTGCCACAGGTCTTTTCCTCTGAGTGTTCTGAGGGTAGATGTGTTTCCACAGAGAGCAAGCCTGTAGTACCCGGTGAAAGAGACTGGAAAGCCAATCTGGGCAAAGAAACCAACCTGTATCAGGAGAAACAAAGGTGGGGTCTCAGACTGCACTGGGCAGACTATAGACCCCACCTACGCTTCTCTTACAGGTTGGTTTCTTCACCCAGAGAGGCATTCCAGTCTCTTTCTTACACTGGAACATTTCCAGGCAGAGTTTCTCCTGCCACAGGTATCTTTTCCTCTGAGCGTTCTCAGAGTGTGTGTCTCCATCTTTACGTATCTTTGTCCATTGAGTGTTCTGATGGTAGATGTGCTTCCACAGAGAGCAAGGCTGTAGTAACTGGAATGTTCCCAGAGAGAATGTCTCCTGCCACAAGTATCTTTTCCTCTGAGTGTTCTGAGGGTAGATGTGTTTCCACAAAATGTAAGCATGTACTACCCAGTGTAAGAAAGAGACTGGAAAGCCTCTCTGGGAAAAGAAACCATCCTTTATTAAGAGAAACAAAGGTGGGGTCTCAGACCACACTGGGTAGACTATAGACCCCACCTATGCTTCTCTTAAAGGTTGGTTTCTTTGCTCAGAGAGGCTCCCCAGTTTCTTTCTTATACTGGGATCTTCTCAGAGAGAAATCTCCTGCCACAGGTAACTTTTCCTCCTAGTGTTCTGAGGGTAGATGTTTTTCCCCAGAAAGCAAGACTGTAGTAAGTAGAATGTTCTGAGTCTGTGTCTTCAGCCCCAAATGTCTCGTCTGCTAAGTATTCTGAGGCTAGATGTGCTTCCACAGAGAGCAAACCTGTAGTAAGTGGAATGTTCCCAGAGTGAGTGTCTCCCGCCACAATTATCTTTTCCTCGGTGTACTATTTAGTTGTGTTGACTGCTTTTCCCTCCTAAAACAAAAAATAGCATTTGTCACATGGCATGGCTCTCAGGGAGGAGGAGAAGAAGAGGGAGGGATACATGGGATACCATGATGTAAGATACAGTAAACATCAATAAAACTTTTTAAATGTAGTCAAGAATCTAAAGGGTATTCATGGAGAGGTGGGAAGGGGAAAGAAAGGAGTTTTGGATGTGCAGAGTGATTCCTTCCACCTCTGCAGCCTCAGGATCAGGGCTTGGCTTGAGACCTCCAGTACTGAGAGAGACTTTTAGCTGCTCTGACCATTTATCCACATGTCTGGCATCCACATGTCTGTCTTCTGTCCATCCACACTCAGGTATTGTATGTTTTTCCTTCTGTCCATCTGTCACTGCCCTCTTCGATGTGTGGCCATGTCCAGCCTTCATGTTTCTGTTCCCTGCTTCTTTTTCCTCTCAGTTCCGGCCAGGTCATCATGTGGGTGGCCCCTATACCCGCCTGATCCTCTTCCTGCTCTTGCTTCTCTGTCTTTGGCCCCCCCACGTGTCCTTGGACTGTCTCTTGGCCCCCTCCCCTCACAGGCACATGACCCCCTTCCTGCCTCCCTCCATCCCTTGTAACCAAGCCTATGGGAAAATTCACATTACCTCAAAATCGTTCTACTTAGAGGTTTGCCCAATGGTCCACTTAGGCAAAGCAAGAACTGTCTGTAGTTGATTTAAAAAAACAGATGGCAAAAGTGGAAAGCAGGTTGGCAGGAATTTGATGGAGATCAACACCCCATACCACATATCAAATTATACTATAAAGGAATATATGAATTAGATATGATAATTGACATAATTACAGTGATAAGTGATGAAAATTATGAATAAGAGATACAAATAAAATCATTAATAATTACTCTAGCTTAGACCTACAACTCACTATTTATTCATTCTATAGCTATAGATTAAGCTCCTTCCATGTGCTGGGCACAGAGAAAGACAGGTGGCCTAATTAAGCACTCTACAAGCATTTCTTAAGTACCTCCTGCATAACAGGTACACTGCTAGGTTCTGGAGATGCAAACACTATTAAGGACATGGTCCTGATGAGGAATGCCCTTGATGACAACTTGTATCCAGATAATGACCTTGACAACACCTTGTATCCAGAGACCTTGAACTAACCAGTCACACTCCAGGCTCCTAATAGCTGACCACAAAAACATGCAGTACCTACCATTGCTTACCCTATAGTAACCTTAGAGCTAATTAACATCCCACCTTTCCATTAGCCAATCCTTGGCCACTGTTGTCTTCCTTAAGGAGAAAACCCCACTGGGTGCTTTAAACATGAATAAATGCCATTGCCTGATCTGGAGACAGTCTGAGCAAATTTTTTTGAGACAACACCAGAAAACACTTCTTGCCTCCCAAGAGACCCTAATCACTAGTAGCTTATGTTCTAATAAGGCAGAAAATACATAAGTATACAGAAAATAAATGCAAATAAAGGCAAAGTAAAAGACAGTCTGGGAGGAAGGCCAGTAGCAGCTAGCAATGAGAAAGGCTTCATGAATAGGTGATGCTTGAACTGTGTCTGGATGGAAGAGGAGGATTCTCTGAGGCTGAAAGATAGAGGGCCAGCTTCAGAGTCAGAAGTGCTCAGAGTTCAAGTCCTTCTTTGGACCCATGCTAGCAGCATGAACACAGTCAAGTAACCTAACCTCTTAGTGACCCAGACTCTGTAAGATCACAGACACATTCAGGTGGGTTGTCAGTCTTATTGAGGTGGCAAAAAGATTAAAGAGTGCTTGACTAGTCACACTCTGACTTGCCCAAGGTCACATACTGTAAATGCCTGAGGCTGCATTTGAATTCAGATCTTCCTAACTCCAGGCCCAGTGCTCTAACCACTGAAGGACCTAGATGGAGGGATTCAGAGATTTCATAAGACTGTTGCCAAGCCATGGCTGAGAAGGCTACCTTGAGGGCAGGGAAGGATAAGAAAAGAGCTTATTCTCATTGCAGTGAAGTTCTGCAAGTGCTCACTCAGTCCCTTCTAAATTTACCAATTACCCTGAGGAAAAACTCTACTTGTCCTACCTGTGTTAGGAACTCCCCAAATAGCTTTATGTACGGTGTGTGCAACGGTCTGGAAGCAGGACCTATCACCCCACAGAGCATGTAAACTACTTTGAATGTAAGCAGCAAGAGAAGCTTCAGCTATCCCATGGGAAACTTGGAAGCTTTTGGACACTGCATTGCCTGTACAGACTTCTGGGTCACAGTTCAAGGGCAGAGAGAACTTTCTGGCAAGAGGGAACAGGGACGCTGAGGAACAGGATTGTTTTCAGTCACAAGGGATCAGGTACCCTGAAGAACAGTATCACTTGCAATCCCAAAGGAACAGGGCCCTGAGGGGCAGTATCACTTCTGGCCAAAAGGGAGAAGGGACCCTGAGGAGCAGGATCCATTGCAGTCCCAAGGGATAAGGGGTTCTTCCTCGGTGAGGCCCAGAGCACAGAGAAGGAAACCAGTGACTAAATCTCTCCCCAGATCACATCACTGTGGAACCACCAAAAAATTTCAAACCCCCAGAACTAACTTTTTAAACAGCAGTGTGAGAGGCCTGAAGCTTCAGAATATCTTCACCCCTCTCCCACCCCCACCACCAACACACACAGACACTTAGGCTTTAGGTTAAGTATAAAATGCAATGGTAGCAGTCATGATCTCTAACAAACCAAAAGCTGAAATAGTCCTAACTCAAAGAGATAAGCAGGGAAACTATATCTTGCTAAAAGGTACCATAGACAATAATATTAAACAAAGATGCACCAAATGGCAGAGCATCCAACTTCTTAAAGGAAAAGTTAAATGACTTAGAGAAGGATATAGACGGTCAAACTATACTAAGGGGTAACCCCAACTTTCCCTTCTCAGAATTAAGCAAATCTATGCATAAAATAATTTTTAAAAAAAGAAGTTAAGGAGAGAAAAAGAATATCAGAAAGGTCAGATATGATAGAACTCTGGAGAAAACTGAATGGAAATAGGAAGGAATGTAACTTTTCTCAGCTGTATATGGCACCTTCACAAAAAAATGAACATATATTAGGGCACCACAAACTAATAATTAAATGGATAAAACCAAAAATATTAAATGGCACCTTTTACTGACCACAATGCAATATAAATTACAGAGATGTAGAAGTGCAGATTAAAAATTAATTGGAAAGTAAAAGATCCAATCCTAAAGAATCAGTGAGTCAAAGAACAAAATTTAGAATCAACCAATAATTTCATCAAACAGAATTACAACAATGAGGCAACATACTGAAATTTGTGGCATGAAGCCAAAGCAGTACTTAGGGAAACATTTCTCTCTCTAAATGCTTACATCTATAAAACAGAGAAAGAGCAGATCAAGGAACTGGGCATGAAATTTATAAAAGTAGGGAAAGAACACATGAAAAATCTCCAATTAAAAATCAAAATGGAAATCCCTAAATCAAAGATGAGATTAAGAAAATGTCTAAAAAATAAAATTATAAAATAAAAGCAGTTGCTGCTTTTATCAAAATACTAATAAAAACAGACAAACCACTGGGTAACTTGATCAAGAAAAAGAAAGAAGAAAACCAAAGGAGCTGTCTCAAAAACAAAAGAAGGAATGCGTAACCAATCAAGATGAAATTAAAGCAATGCTTAGGTGTTATTTTACCCAATCATATGCCAGCTAAACTGACAATCTACCTGAAATATATGAATACGTACAAAAATATAAACTGCCCATATTAACAGAAGAGGAAATAGAACACATAATAACCTATCTTAAAAGAAAAAAATTGAATAAGACATAAATGGGTTGCCTATGAAAAATTTCCCAGGACCAGATGGATTTGAAAGTGAATTCTACTAAATATTTAAAAAAGAAAACATTTCATCCCAATACTATATAAACTATTTGAAACAACAGGTAAAGGAATCCTATCAAATTCCTCTTATGGCACAAATATATTTTTGATAACTAAACGAGGGTGTAGGGATATATGCAAAATAATATCTTATTGAAGGAGCTGTGAAATAACATCCATTTTGGAAAGTAAATTTGGAATTATGCAAAGAAAGCAAGAAAAACGTCCAAAGATTTTAAAACAAAGACTCCATTACACCCCAATGAAGCCATTAATAAGAAAAGAAGTCCCCAAATATTCCAAAAGACTTATAACAGCATTTTTTTTGTGGCAGCTATGAATTGGAAACAAATAGATGCTCATCAATTGGGGAATGGCTAAACAAGATATGGCATATGAAAGACATGGAACACTGCTACAATGCTCTACTGTGTGTGGGGGGCAGCTAGGTGGCATAGTAGATAGAGCACCTGCCCTGAAGTCTGGAGGACCTGAGTTCAAATCAGGCCTCAGACCAAACACTAGACACTTACTAGCCATGTGACCCTGGGCAAGTCACTTAACCTCAATTGCCTAAAAAAAGAGAATGATGTGTGTGATGAGGACAGAGAAGTATGGAAAGATTTTTGTGAAATGATGCAAAGTGAATTAAGAGAGTGGAAAAAAAACAGTACATATACATGGTACCTATAACAACTGAAATGGAAAGAATGAGACACAAAAAAATTAAAAGTATCTGTGACAAAATGTTAAAGATCAAGTGGGACTGAAAAGGAAACATGAGAAGACACCATTACATTACCCCATCCAGGAGGTGAGAGGTTCCCAGGTCTTACACATTGCACATGTTTTCCTGAAATGCATCAATCAATTGTGGTTACTTTTCTTTTTCTCCCTAAAAGAAAAAAAATATGATTTATTATATGGCATGGCTCTTGAGGATGGGGAGAGGGTGGGATATATGGGATAATCTCATGACGTAAGAAACAAAATATAAAAAAAATTTAAAATAGTCAAGCATCTCAAGGGAAATAATGGGAGGGGGAAGGAGGAAAGAAAGGGGTTTGGGTTAGTGATTATCAGTAGCAGATCCAAACTATGTTACAAATTCGTGATTATGAAAACAATTGTTGTTGTCGTTGTTTACTCCTATCTGACTTTTCCTGACTCCATTTGGGGTTTTCTTGGCAATGATATTGAAGTAGTTTGCCATTTCCTTCTGAAGTTCATTTGACAGATGAGGAACTGAGGGAAACAAGGTTAAGTGACTTGCCCAGGGTCACACAGCTAGTGTCTGAGGCCATATTTGATTGTATTTTATTATTAATTAATCTATTTATTTTACTTTTCATTATTTACTTCCACAAGATTTTTAGTTCTAAATTTTCTCCCCATCTCTCCTCTCCTCCCACCCCAAGACATGCATTCTGAATACCCTCTTCCCCCAATCTGCCCTATCTTCTATCACACCCCGATTTTTTATCTCCTTCCCCTTCTATTTTCCTGTAGAGCAGGATAGATTTCTATGCCCCTTTGCCTGTATATCTTATTTCCCAGTTGCAAGTAAAAACAATTTTTAACATTCCTTTTTAAAACTTTGACTTCCAAATTCTCTCGCTTCCTCCCTCCCCACCACCTTCGTTGAGAAGGCAAGGATTATGATATAGGTGCAGTCATGCAAAACACTTCCATGATAGTCATGTTGTGAAAAGCTAACTATATTTCTTTCCATCCTATCCCACCCCAGTTTATTCTAGTCTCTTTTTGACCCTGTCCTCCTCAAAAGTGTTTGTTTCTGATTAGCCTGTCTGAAGCCATTTTTGAATTCAAGAAGATGATTCTTCCTGACTTCTGTGCCTGGAGAATACCTAGCTGCCCAGAAAACAATTTCTCTTGTTAAAAATTGAAAGGGAGATTAATGGAAAAGATTAGGTATGCAATGTACAGAAGGAAACAAATAGGAAAAAAAGAGTGTTTAATAAATCCAAAGAAAGCAGTTGGGTGGGGGGAAAGGGACCACACACTATTTGATGGAAAAAAAAAACAGATGGGATAAGGGAAAAGTTTGCCAGAAATTCGATAGGACATCGACACCTCATATCACCTTACACATTAAACTACAAATGGATACATGAATTAGGTGTAAAAGGGGATTCAACAGTAAATTAGAGGAGCAAGTAGGAATTTGCTTTTCACATCTATGGACAGGGGAAGAGGTTTAGACAGAAAAAGAAAGACAGAGAATCACAGAAAATGAAATGGATGATTCTGCTTCTATAAAGTTGAAATGTTTTGGTACAAACAGACCAAATGCAGTCAAAATGAGAAAGGTAACAGTTAAGTGAGGAAAAACATCTTTGCAGTAAAGTTCTCTAAGGACTGTTGCATATGCAAGATGTAGAAGGAACTGATTCTAATTTCTAAGATTAAGAGCCATTCTCCAATAGGTCAATGGAACAGGACATTTCCCCCCCAAAAAAAATCCAAGCTATCAACAACCTTATGACAAAATGCTCCAAATCCCTCATAATGAGAGAAATGCCACTAAAACATTTCTTTCAGTCTGCAAATCACAGAGATCTACGGGTTCAGGGACACTCCCCTTTCTGTTCCACAAGGTACATGGAAATAGGTGCTGATTGAAACCAGACCAAAAAGAAATATAGAACTTAATTAAACAACACCAAACAAAAGAGATGGTCTGGAGAAGGGGAGGGGAAGAGTTCCTAGACTGTCTCCTCTCTCCCCAGCCCTGAAGCCGAGCCAAGGATGGGAGAGAGGAAGAAAGGTTGGAAACATTCACCTGGGGAGGGGATGGAGGGAGTGTCTCCAAAGGCTTTTCCCTGCTGGCCTGCATGGCATCCCACCCCATCTCACGACCCCCCAAGTCCCAGACCTCCAGACAAAGTCCTGGGCAGGCAGGAAACCCCAGGCAGAAGCAGCCCTGGAGGAGCAGGCACACACCCATACTTACATACACGCACAAACTCACACAGACAGTCACTCCACCAGACACATACAGATGATCCTACCTACAGACACAACACAGGCATAAACAAAGGTATCTGTACTCCCAGGACCTTCCACCTACACTTACACACATCCTCCTGGGTACTAAGCAAAGCCAGTTGGGGGGGGGTGCTCGGCTTCATAAAAAGGTTAAGGAGGAAGGGAAGACAAGAGGAGAAAAAAGGGAGGGGCTGAGGCAGAAGCAGGGGAGGGAGCACTTACCTCACTCAAAGCCACTTAGGCACTAGGTCCTGGACCGTCATGATCGGTCAGTCTGGACAATGTGGGTAACGGAGGGGAGAGGTGTGGAGGGGAAGGAAAGTGGGGGGGCACTCGGACCTCCAGCGCCTCACCGCACTCACAGCCTCCTCCAGAGACAAAGACTTACACTTAATGGAGGGTGGGAGGGGGCGGACACTGTGATGTCATTAAAGGGCGGGGTTAGTCTCCTCCAGAGAAGAGGGGGAAGAGCAGGGGGAGGGGAGGAGGCTTTGTGACACACACCCAGAGTAGTGGGGGGCCAAACATTTCTCTCAGTCCCCATCACCTACTGGAGGGGGCCGCAGGAGCATCCTCCATCTGGAAGTGGCCCTGGGGCTGACCAGGGTCCCAGGTTCCTGAGGGCAGGCTGCTGGGGCTGGGGGTAGGGGGCAGCAGCTGAGCTCAGCTTGGAGTTCTTCACGGTCAGCCCCTTCATGCACACTGGGAGGGGAAGAACAAAGAGGGGAGGGGGAGGGGGAGGGAAGGATGTCTTGGGGTCCACAAAAAGGAGGAGCACAGTAGCTGCAGCATCATCTGCAAACCAGCAGCCCTTGAATGGGGCTTGGATTCCTCACAACCCCTACAGCAGAGAAAGGAAAGGCTCAGCCTCCTTTCTCCAGTCTGTAGGAGACAAAGAGGAGGAACAGAGGGTCACCCAGGGAGGAAGCACATCTGCCCCAACTATTTATGTGTGGGTACTCTGGTCTAAATCCTATATGATATAAACCTTTCAGAGCCTGGACAAGAGGGAGTCACACCCTCCTTTCTGGCCCAGTATCCCCTACCAAGGGACTTCATACATTTCTTTCTAAAACTTTCCCAGATCTGGGGTTTTATTCTCTGCAACACCAGCCACCCTCCCACTAGTGAATTGGCATAGTGGAAAGACATCTAGAATTGGAGTTACGATACCTAGACCAGGGGTGGGGAACCTGTGGCCTTCTAGCTCCTTGGGTGCAGCCTTTTCCCCCGAGTCTAAGTGTTACAGAACAAATCCTTTTATTAAGGGGATTTGTTCAGTGAAGTCTGGATTCAGTCAAAGGGCCACACTTGAGGACCTAGAGGGCCACATTGAACCTTGAGGCTGAAGGTTCCCCATCCCTGACTTAGACTGAAGTTCTGTCTTATTCACTGTGTGAGCATAGGCAAGACACTTAAACTCTCTAAACCTCAATATTCATATCTCTAAAGTGGGAGTGATAATAATACCTAGGCTAAGTAAATTACAGAGTGGTTGTAAGTCTCAAATGAGATGTTTACAAAGTGCTTTTCAAACCATGACACCCCATAGAGGTATTTATTATTAGGTTTACCATTATCATTCATCTCTGTTAGTCTTTTTGATGGAATTTACACATGGTGCTATTGATTCTTTTCTGTTTAATATTTTTCAGATCATTTTATAGAATTACTGTCTTTTGTAACTAGATAGAAGCATTGGGATGTTAATTCCTCTGCTGCAGGCTCCAGGAATACATCTTTAAGACAATTTTAAGAGAAGAGAGGACTTGTGGGTATGATGCTCCTCATGCTTGACCCACATGGTTTTCATTTCTTCCCCTAGGTCTGTACATGTTGCAAGCTTTTCACCCATGCAGCTTAGAGATTAGGAACACTTGATATGCTATTAAAAATATCATTCTTGATTTTTTATGGATCAGCATTATGACTAGAAGATGGGGCCGATAGTTTTGCTCCATAACAATGTTCCAGTTCCAGTACAATTTATTTTTGAATTCCCAAGGATAACCTGAAGTCTCTAATTTTAATATGAACATCTGTCATCTGTTCACTTTTGAAAGACTTTGAACTTCTAATCGATAATTCCATCCACTACTTCATGTCTTGCTAAGTACTGATTAAGTACTAATGTTTTACAACCTGCAGTGAAGTGGTGCTCAGTTTCTACCACTTCCTTCCGTGGTCTGTGCTGATTGCTAAATCTGGTCTCCTTAAACACAATCTATAATTTCTGCTGACAATGACCCGATGTGGGATTGCCATCCCACATCCCCTCCTTTCTACAAACAAACCCACATGACCAGCATGTGTTCAGTGATTCTCTGTACACATTGTTGTGGAATGTCACCTACAGAGTGCGTCTGGACTCCACTCTTGGACCTTTGCTATTTTATTGGATTCCCCCAGAGACTGACCACTTTCAGATACACTGAACACATCCAGGAGTGAGTATTTAATTTTTTTTAACTTACTTTCACTATTGCTAAGTGAAGTGTTACATCTCTGTGTTCCACAACTATTTCTGTCAGTTTTAAACTCGTTTGATATGGACTTTGAGAACATCCCTCAATCATCTCCCTCCTTTTTAATGAGGAAGTGTTGATCTCTGTATTTCTTTAAAATGTAGATTTTTCTTAGGATACTTAGAAAGTATCAGTTTTTGTTCATTTTTGTAGAATTAGGAGAGGGCCTTTCTACACTATGCCCTATGTAAGAGGGTGGCTACTTTAAGCAGGCCATCTCCTGGGAGGGGGGACTGGGAAGCAGGAAAGGCTCCCCCTGATTTGGCAGGCAGAGGGTTCTAAGGGATGGGTGTATGACAGAGTTACAGGCAAGGCTATAGCCTATAGAGGTAGTACATGGGTGAATATGTCCATATGAAACAAGTGCTGTATGGAGCTCCAGCCAAGGTAGGCTTCTCCATGGAAAAGCTCTCTAAGCGTGCTCAGGAGACACTCGAGACTTTTGTTTCACCCAGGCGGACTTTCTTTAGGAACACAGAGAAAGGATTCTCACAAAAATACAAGGGACTTGCTAAAGGTCTTTAGCTAGGAGCCCCCTCCTGATTGTGTTGCTCCATAATCCTTCTACTGGGGACATTCTCTCCATTAAGAAGGGGTTCAATTGGGTTCCTTAAAGGCATGGCTAAAACTTTTTTTCAGTTAGAGGTTAAGTTACTGCAATCACTAGGGATACCCAAAGGCCAGAGTACACACAGAGTAAACATACATAATATCAGAGGGGCTGGAATAAGCTATTCTGGAAAGTAAAGGAGGTTGGATTTCAACCAAGAATCAACTACCCAGTAAAAATTAATATAATCTTTCAAGGGGGAAAACAAACATTCAGTGAAATAGGGGACATTCAAACATTCCTTTTCAAAAGACTAAAGCTGAAGAGAAAATTCGATTTTCAAATATAAGACTCAAGAGAGGCATAAAAAGGTAAAGAAGAAAGCAAGAATGTAAGTTATTCAGTATGGTTAAAGTGTTTCCATCCCTACAGGGGAAGATGATACTTGTAACTCTTTTTTTTTTTTTTGGTGAGGTAATTAGGGTTAAGTGACTTGCCTGGAGTCACACAGCTAGTGAATGTTATGTGTCTGAATCCAGATTTGAATTGAGGTCCTGACTCCAGGGCCTGTGCTCTATCCACTCCACCACCTAGTTGCTCCAGATACTTGTAACTCTTAAGAATTGTATCTCCATCAGAGTAGTCAGGAGTATACATAGACAGAAGGTGTGGGTATAAATTGACTTTGATGGGATATATAAAAACATTAAGGGGTGAGAAGGAGAGTTGGACTGGGAGAAGGGAGAAAGGAGAGGAAGAATGGGTTAAATTATATCATATTTAAAGGTACAAAAGATCAATGACAATGGAGGGGAAGATGGGACGGGGCTGAGCATTGCTGGAACCTTACTCTCAATGGATTTCGCTCAAAGAAGGAATAACACATATTCAGTTGGGTATAGAAATCTAATACAAGGGGGATGCATAATCAATGAAGATGAAATTAGAACAATGCTTAGGGCCAGCAAAAATGACAATCTATGGAAAATACAAGAGTACTTACAAAAATATTAACCGCCCACTTTAATAGAAGAGGAAATAAAATACTTAAATAACCCTACCTTAAGAGAAGAAATTGAGCAAGGCATAAATGAGCTCCCTAGGAAAAAATCCCCAGGACCAGATGAATTAGAAAGTAAATTCTACTAAACATTTAAAAACATTTCATCCCAATACTATATAAAGCATTTCAAACAGCAGGTAAAGAAAGAGTCTTATTAAATTCCTTTTATGGCACAAATACGTCTTTGATACCTAAAATGAGGGTGTATGGATATACACGAACTAATACCTTACTGCAGGAGCTGTGAAATGACATATCCATTTTAGAAAGTAATTTGGAATTATGCAAAGAAAGTAACAAAAATGTTCACAAAGCCTTTAAAACAAGGACTCCATTACACCCCAAGGAAGCCATCAATAAGAAAAAAAGTTCTCATGTATGCCAAAATACTTATAACAGCACTTTTTGTGAGAGCTATGAATTGGAAACAAAGAACATGCTTATCAACTAGGGAATGGCTAAACAAGGTGTGGAACACTAATGTGATGGAATACTGCTACCATTCTGTAAGAAATGATGTGTGAGATGAGTACAGAGAAGTTGGGAAAGATCTTTGTGAACTGATGCAAAGAGAATTAAGCAGAGTAAAAAAAAAAATACATATACATGGTAACTACAACAATTGAAATGGAAAGAATGAGACACAAAAAATTAAAAGTAACTGTAACAAAATGTTAAAGTTCAAGTGGGACTGAAAGGAAACATGAGAAGACACCATCACCTCTCCAGGACATGACAGGTCCACAAGTGTTACACCTTGCACACACTTTCTGAAATGCATCCGTCAGTTGTGCTCACTTTTCTTTTCCTCCCTAAAAGAAAAAATACAATTTGTATACATTGCATGGCTCTTGAGGATGGGGAGAGGGAGGGATACATGGAATACCTTGGTAATGTAAGTAACAGAAATCAATTTTAAAAAGTTTAAAAAGAGGTCAAGCATCTCAAGGGTAAGAATGGAGGGGGAAAGGAGGAAAAAAAGGGGTTTGGGTTAGTGATTATCAGTAGCAGATCCCAACAACATTACAAATTTGTGATTACAAAAACAATTGTTGTTGTTTACTCCTCTCTGACTTTTCCTGACCCCATCTGGGGTTTTCTTGGCAAAGATACTGGAGTGGTTTGCCATTTCCTTCTGAAGCTCATTTGACAGATGAGGAACTGAGGCAAAGACTGAAGTGACCTGCTCAGGGTCACACAGCTGGTAAGTG